AATGGTGGCTGGGGTAAACAATGTTACCTGTATTTCATAGGATTTGGGGTAATTTCTACTTTCTTGTTCACCCTCTTTTTACTGTTTTAAAGTTTTTAAATGCACATGCATGATTATTTTAATGAGAAAAAAGTTATTTTCTGAGAGGTGTAGAAATCATGTGTGGTGAAGGGCACAGGTAGACTTGGCATTTGAGTGGTGCTAGAAAATGAGGGTAGAATTCACATTTATCAGATTGAAGTGGGCATTTCCCATTATGATCAATATATTATCATTAGTAATCATGTTTAAAATAAGAGCAACATGACTTTCCATATAAACACACAATGAATCTCAGACAAAATTTCATGTCTAGATGTAGCAAATCCAGAAGTCATCTGAGTCCTCATCTTCCACAGATAAATATAAAAATCAATTAACTAATTAACTACAGTTTTTGTGAATCATTCACTTCACAGTTTCCCCAGCTGGGATGAAACAGCCAGCAGCAAACTCCTGTGTAGTTCCAGGTGGTGGCAACCCCACCACAACACTGGCAACTTCTTAGAGTTCCTAACCTCTTCCCATTTGACAAAGCCACAAAATATTTGAACAAGAAAAGAATGCATGCTTTAGTTCAACTTATTTTCATGTTTGACTTTAACTTTGAGAATAGACACTCAGTATTTTGATGTTGACATCTGTTTTATGTTTTGGCTTTTCTTTTCTTTCTTTTTTTTTTTTTTTTTTGAGACAGAGTTTCACTCTTGATGCCCAGGCTGGAGTGCAGTGGTGCATCTCGGCTCACTGCAACCTTGGCTTCCCGGGTTCAAGTGATTGTCCTGCCTCAGGCTCCCGAGTAGCTGGGATTACAGGCATGCACCACTGCACTCGGCTAATTTTGTATTTTTAGTAGAGACAGGATTTCACCATGCTGGTCCGGCTGGTCTCAAACTCCTGACCTCAGGTGATCCAACCGTCTCGGCCTCCCAAAGTGTGGGATTACAGGCGTGAACCACCAGGCCTGGCCATGTTTTGGTTATTCTTAAATGTACACTTCAATTGATGTGAAGTCCTCAACTTTTGGATGACATCTGTCATTTGAACCGTAAAACTGTCTTGGCTTCCCTGGAAGCCCATCACAGAAATAATGGGGTTCACTGCCCTCCTCAACACCACATCCATTTGTGTTTTTTATAAGGTTGACATTAATATTAGAATGCCCTGCCGCTACTGTCTTCTGAAAGCCATCTGAAACTTTATGGCCTGGATCTGAGGCATAGCTCAGGGCAGAAGATTCTCTTCAGCACTCATGTTTCTGCATTACATTGGAGAACCTCTGTTCTATCATTTGAGAGCAAAGAGCTCACATTCAACCCATCTTCCCCCATTCAGCCTTAGAAACAAAAAGGGGGTACATGTCCTAGGTTTCTTAAAGTAAAATTAGAGAAAGGCATGAGAACGCAAGCTTCAAAAATAATGAATTGTGCTCTGCTATAATAGTTAAGCCTGAGGGGAAAAAAAAGAAGCTTAAACAAGAAAAAAAATTTTATTTCAAAAAGATAAGAAATGGGAAGTTAGAGAGTCTAGACCACTTGACATAATCATTACACACTCTGTTCCATCATCACTAGGGTAGGCACTTGTCTTCATGGTAGAAGATGGCTGCTGGGGTTCCAGCCATTTCACTGGCATTCCAGACAGCAGAATGAAGGAAGGAATAGAAGGTGATCTTCTCTCCCTTTTCAGGCAACTTCCATAAATCCCACACAATTCTGTCTAAATCTCAATTTAGTTACTTGGTGCATCAAGTTACAAGTTAGGCTAGCAGAAGCAATTTTATTAACCAGGTGGTGATGTGCCAGGGTTCTTACTAATGAGGCAGAATGAAAGAATGGATATCAGGAGACAACATATGGACACATGCAAGCACATGTATGCATAATTTAAGGACTATTACCAAAGTTCTTTTTAGAGAAGGAGCTATCACTATTTAGTCACCACAATGTCCCACTTGTGTATGAAAAGACAGGGCCCAGGTCAGCATCTGGAAAAAGAAAGCAAATCCAAAGTAGGATTGAATTTCAGATAGGAAGAATCTGAGTTTTGTTGTGCCCAAGAAAGAGATGGGGAGAAGGGCACTAAAAATATGGGAAGGAGCCAGAGAACTTTGAGAGATGGCACAGTAAGTTTTTAAAAGAAAGAGGAGGAAATAAAGAAGGAAGGATAAAAAGAAGAGAGGAGAGAAGGAGAGGAGGAGTGCTAAATGGTAAAATAACTAAATAGATTTGTAGAACAGAGATGGCCACTATGCAAACCCACTTCCATCTGCCCAAACTTAGCTAATTCACGAAGGCCCTGTGGAGGAGGTATGTGCTGAAGAGGGAGAGTAGAAATCTAGAAAGAGGTCTAGGAAGGTCCCTTAGCCAGGTAAGTGTATCCAACAGAAGACAGTGTCTGTGAGACAACATTAACCAGAAGCAGGAGTTTTGAGACGAATGTAAGAGAACAACAGACCCCTCAGGAAGTCATGGAAATCTTGGGGGCTCTGAAGAACAGATGTACCACCAGTCCCAAAATGGAATTTTCAGCGAATTCTCACTTCCATGTGAGTTAAGTTGTTATCAAACGTCAACTTTCCTCTCCTGCCAATCTCTCAATAGGCTCATGAGGAGGATGGAGAAATGTTTATTGGGGCTTCAATAAAATATAAGCTTTATAATATAAAACAGCAAAGTTAAATGCCATACAGCTGGTTAGTGGTTCAACCAGAACCAGAGGCTGTGTTTCTCATGGCCTCTTTAAATTAGGAAGGAAATAGGTGTCATGATCTCATCAACTGAGAGACAGTTCTGAGCGATGCACTCAAATGCATGACTGATCCTGGGCTTGGCAGAAAGAGTACCCTGATTGATTAGTGATGTCTGCTCTGTGCTTTGGCTGTGGGAGCTTCAGGTGACATGCGTTAGATCTGTAGTCCCCTTTAGAGCATGATGAGTCTCTAATCACTGAGATTTATGGCAACGCCATTGGGCGTATTCAGTGTAGAGATGTTTTTACTCACACCACTGACACCAAATGAGACGTGCTTTCTTTCCCTAACACCAATTCCTCAATTCTTTGCAGACACGAACTGGGTATTTAACAATTCAATTCAATTTTGACACTATCTGCAGTTAGCATGGACCCTACAGGTTAAGGGCTCAGTCCCAGAAGGCTACCTTCCACTTCAAATATAAGTTGCAAATCCCAGGCCACCCATGCTTCTGACCAACCAGCTATAAGTCAGGGTTCCCATGACCACCTCCACAGGCTTGATAATTTACTGGAATGGTGTACAGAACTCATTTACTGACATTCACTTGTTTATTGTAAACGATGCAACTCAGGAACAGCCAAATGGAAGAGATACACAGGGCAGGGTGTGGGGGTGTGCAGAGTGTCCATGCTGTCTCAGGGCAACTCCCTCCCAGCCCCCCAGTGTGAGACAGCCAAGTATAAAAGGGTCACCGGAAAACCTCCAACTGGCCAGCACACTGGGAGGAGTGTGCACTGGGGTGGAGCCTCGGGAAGTTCACGATGTTTGCAGGGGGAGGAGCCTGGCCTCTTTTGTTCCGGAGTGAACCTGGAATTAAATCTGTGAGGCAGGACACTGACCAGCAGGACTCTTTCTTTGCTGAGAGTTTCTGTTCCTCCCGCCTTTTTTCCCTTTTCGCCCAATAAATTCCATTTTTCTCACCCTTCAAAGTGCCTGCAAGCCTAATCTTTCCTGGTCCTGTGACAAGAACCCTAAAGAGAAAGTCCTACAACAGATGTGTGTGCCAACTCAGAAGCAATCTGAACCCCACCATTTAAGGGTTTTTATGGAGATTTCATTACGTGGAGCTGGTGGACTAAATCACTGGCCATTGGTGATGGACTCAATCTCCTGCCCCTCTCCCCTCTCAGGAGGTAGAAGGGTGGGGCTGAGAGTTGAGTCCTCTAATCACTATCACAGGGTGTGGTCTTTCTGGCAACTAGTTTCCATCCTGAAGCTATCTTGGGGCCTCCAGACACCAGTCACCTTATTAGCATACAAAAGACACTCATCACTCTGGAGATTCCAAGGGTTTTAGGAACTGTGTGCCACAAACCTGGGACAAAAACCAAATATTTATTTATTTTTTATTATACCACAGGCATGACTGTGGATACTTGCTAGCAAAAGGAATTTTTTTAATTGCTTAGTTTTTAGTAAGCCCTTTCCAAAGTGGGACAAAAAATTAAAGAGAAGTAGAAGACATGGACTTTATGAATTGAAGATAATCTAGTTTATCTAGTTCAACCTGTGATGTGATACCCTAATCTTCTTTATCATTCTATAAAATATTCAGCCATCCTCAGGAGTCCCGCAGGGAGCTGCAATAATAATAAATTTGGCAATAGTAAATAATATGAGCAAAGCTCCTCCTATGTGCCTCACATTGTGTTTAAACCTTTTACAGAGCACTGTTTTTTCTAATCCTCCTAGCAATACTAAAAGGTGCATGCTATCAGTAACCTCATTTTCTAGATGAGTAAATCAGCCTCAGAGGTTAAGTATCTGCCCAAGTTCCTACAGTGGGTAGGTGTCAAGGCTGAGATACCAATCAGGAGACCTCCTGACAGGGACAGTGGCTGTTAACTTACATCTCACTGTCTCTAGGACTGGACACCTGGAGGCCAAGCAGAGCCTCACCCATTCACAGGAACAAAAACAGATTTTGATTCCATGTCTGAGTTGTTCCCAGGGACCCCATCAGGGCTGAAGTGAATTACCATCCTTAGAGGCAGGCAGGTTGGAAGTGCAATGTTCACTCTCTGGCATCTCATTGATTTGGTCCCCCTTAAGAAGAAAATTCCATAATTGAAATCTAGAAGAAATGTTTTTCTGAAAGTGTGTCATTTTCCACAGCACTTCTCTAGTCCAGTGTCCTTAGACTACAGTTGGATTATATGAATTAAGGCCTCCAAACAGATAATCACTGTACCTTCTCCTTCAGGGACAAACAAGACATTTATTGATGCTTCTTATCAGTGTTTTCACTCAGCGGAACACCATTTTATCACTTATATTCTCGTGAAAAATTTCCACAGTGATTGATGATGACAAATCCATGGACCCCAATCAATGGGAAGTGGCTGCTTTCAGGTAAGGGGAGGCATAAAGGGTCCATTTCTCATCTCTGGACATTGGGGCGGGGAGACAAGAGGTGCCTGCTATCTATTCACTACCACTATGTACTCATTCACTTGCTCATTCATTCCCCCTTTCCCAAAATATTTAGAGTGCCTATTATGTGCCAAGCCCTGCTTTAGGCACTTGGAAGATAGCAATGAACAAGACAAAAAAGGAGTCTCCTCCACTCACTGAGTTTGCAGGCCTGTTGAGGGAGACGACGAACCATACATGCCAACCAACGTAGCTAAAAATAATTCCAGAGGATCAAGTGCCCATGAAAAGAGTAAGACATCACTCTCAGAGGAGCTCAGAATGCCTCTATAACAATCTGTACCCTTAACCAGAACATTCCTCAGAGTAAACTTCAATAAGGCCATGCCAAGCCTGAGAATTATGAAGAGACATGACCATCTTCCTCTTAAAAGTGGTTGCAGGCCATCCATGGTTTTACACAGTCTTTTTTCCACCCATGACCCCAAAGGAGGAAAGATTCCATCTGGCCCAGGATTTTTTTTTTAATGATGCAATGATGAAGAATGAGAAGACAAAAAATAATAAACTCCAGAGCTTGCCTTGAGAATAATGTTTTACCAATAGGATGTCATAAATATGAAATGGCAAAGAAAGATGTTCCAGGATTTGTACTTTGTCCTTTGTTAGCCAGACAGATAATGAGTTACCATCAGGGACTCTTTTTTCTCTCATTTAAACATGAGCTACATATAACTTCCATACTTCTGTGAAAAGGGAACCCATAAATTACAAGTTATTGTTTCTTAGAAACTGGGATTGTACAAGGGAGAGCCAAACAAAATCCTTTGTTTCATGAGCTTGCAACTTTTTAATTAAATACCACTTTAAACTCATACATACATAAGCCAAATGTTCCCCAACCATCCTGCTCCACAGCATGGTGCCCATGCTCCCCTTCCATCACTTTGCTGTGTTAGAGGTAGGATTCTTGCATTTATTTTTTTTTTCTAATTTTTTCCTCTATCAATTTAGGCTGGATTGGAAACATAGATAACACAGAACAGGGACTAGTTTTTAAGTTTTTGTAGTTGTTATGACCAAGGACCAGGCTATACAGATTGATTATAAATAGATAAGAAAGGGAGGGAGGAAAAGAGGGAGTGAGGAGAAACAGGAAGCAAGAGAGCAAAGGAGACAGAGAGGAGGGCAAGAGGGATTGGGGAGACTCCCTAGCCAAGCAGCATGTAAACCTAAGACACTTTATCTGGTTAGATCCACAGACCATTGAGGCAGAATCTAGCTTATTATTCACCAGTATTCATGTTTCTTTCATCATTGGCATACTTCTAAACTGCATTTCCCCAGCCCCCTCACATGTGAGGACATGTGACTAGTTATTCCTCACAGAATGTTGGCAGAAGGGATGTGTGTTACTTCCAGGAATGGACCCTAAAATCTCCTGATCTCTTCCTCATACTTACTCCCGTCTCATCTGCTAGATGCAAAGGATCCACTGGAGGTCTCTGAGGCCCTGGGAGGTGGTAGAGCCACACCATGAAGGTGCCTGGGTCCCTGAATGACTGCATGGAGCGTAATGCTCACTCTACATTGGATTGTGACACAAGCAAGAAAGGTAAGACACCAAGATATAGGGATTGTTTCTATACAGTTAACCAACCCTGAACTGTACACCCCTTTGCTCTATTTTTCCATCCATGGCAGGCAACACTAACAGATACTTCATGGTTAACTTTTCCCTTCAGTTGTCCTCAAACATTTCTGCCATGTCTCAGACAATCCCAGCTTCACATACAGAGGGCATTACAGAGATCTCATCCAAGCGCTTTAAGTACTAAATTTATATTCTTAGTTAGTTTTCAATCTACCCTTCACTATGATTCCTATTTTAAAAAGGAAGGATGAGTCCATGATTCAAGTCAAGATGAAAGAAACATTTCTAAATCAAGGGTACGCACATTTTTCTGTAAAGGTCCAGATAAGTAAGTATTTTAGGCTTCACAAGCCTTACAGTCTCTGTCTCAATGAGCCAACCCTGTCATCATGGCACAAAAGCAGCCACTGGCAGTGTGTAAATAAATGGGCATGGCTGTGCTCCAATAGGCTGTGATTTACAAAAACGGGCAGCAGGCCAGATTTGGCCCATGGGCCATAGTGTGCTGACCTCTGCTCTAAATCATCCTCACATTTTCACTAAATATGACCAAGGGCACATGTAAATTCTAGTATCAATTCAATCCCTGTGACATTAGTTTATACTATTTGTTTTAGACCTCATGGCTTCTCTTGAGTAGTGACAGATATGACAAATGAAGTTGCAAACAGTATTTGATTCTTCTTTCTGCCTCAGCACTGTACGGTGCCTGGCACAAAGTAAAATACAATACATTTTAGTTCCTTTTTACTTCCCTTCAAGCTTGCCTTTGAAGGTTAGACTTGAGGTCACAGCTTCACTTAAGTCCCATTTATTAGTCTGTGGCTTTGGTCAAAGCACCTTCTCTTTGTAAACTTTGGTTTCCAAATCTATAAAATGAGGATAACAACATATACCTCACAGGACTTTTTTGAGGGGTCAGGTAGTGAGGAAAAAGAATAATAACATATATATATATCCTGTGAAATATATATTATTGTGTGATATAATAATATATATAGTGTGAAATGCACAGCACAGTACAGAGGTAAGAGACTATTATTGTAAGCTGCCTGTCCCTTCCTGGATTCTGGATTTACTTTCTTTCCACTGGAAACGTGAGTCCCCCCACCCCAATCCCAAGGAGGTCCACTAAATCCCCATTTAGCCTAGGCCAAGAGGCTGTCGGGGTGCATGGGCCGGCTCCACCTGTGTTCTGATTGACTGCCAGAAACCTGAGCCTCCTTTATAGCCACTAACTGGATCCAGAGAAGCAGCTCCAGCTGCCAAAAAATGTTGCTGCTTTAAAGAGATAAAATGCAATAAAGATATGTTTGTAATGGGCATACTCAGTATGGTTTGACCGGCCAATGACACAAGGCACTTGGCCTTGGACCCAGTGCTATTTGAAATGAGCTCTGGAATTGAAGTACTATTCCCATCAAGAGTATCACCCTTAGCAGTCCACAGCTGAAAGCTTCAAAGTGCAAAACTCAAATCTCCTTTTAGTCAAGTAGTAAAATAATGAAAAAGATTTGTGGATAGAATATTTATCCTGTAGTTGCAAATTTTTATGGCCATCTCATTCTACTGAGAGCTGTTATGTGTATAAAACTCCAGACTCCAGGGTCGGTCTGAGTCTTTCCAGCCATGGACATCTGTACCATCTACTTATAGTGCACACTTACCACTCTAAAAGAAACAAAATGCTTTTTAGTTTCCTTGATGATGCTTGCATTAAAACCTGAAGGAAAACATTGCAATCGGCTCTTGTCAGCTAGTCATTACACATTCCCTGACAGTGTCTAGAATAGTGCCTGGCAAGAGAAGGGCTTTACAAGATTTACTAATGTTCCAAGTCCTATATCCAGTCATTGTCCTATATCTGATAGGGCATGGATGGCAAGTACCCAACAAATTCACCATTAACTTTGTGCTCAGGGCAAGCAGCAATAATCACTCAAGACGCTTTTGTCTTTTCTGATGAGCCAAAACAGAGTAACAGTAACATCTTGGCTGGGGCAGCTTTCCTGCATCTCTGCACAGTCATGTCTTCTGGATGAGGGTCTCTCTGCTAGCACTTGGCCTCTCCCCCAAACCAGTTCCTCCTACCATCTTAGCTAATCTTTGTTAACTGATCCACACATCCACCCAAGACTTCAAACTAAAACTCTGAAAGCATCCTTAACTAATCCTCCAACATCCAATGAATCAACAAATCTATGAACTGTAATACCCATGAACTCTAATACCCCAAATAAAATTTGAATTTCTTCTCTTCATCTCTACCATTGTAACCTGGGCCATCTTTGGTTGCAACTATTTCAATAACTTTTTAAGTGCTCTCCGGCTTCCATGGCAACCCCCCTCAGTCTGTTTCCTATACATCTGCCAGAGGGCATTATTAAGGCAGATCATGTCAATGGCTCACTGCTTAACTGCATAACCTGCCTGATCTAGTGCTTCCTGTCCTTTCCAACATCATCTCAGCTCACTCTCCTCTCCATTACTGCAGTGCAGTTGCAGCTGCATTGACTGTCTTGCTGTTCTTGGAAAGCACCCAGCTTTTGACCCACTTAGGGGGTCACACATGTTTTGTTGTCTGCTTGTAAGTCTGCTGCCTATGACAACTCCCAGCCCATTGGCTAAGTTCTTATTCTTCAAGTCACAACCAAAGTACCATATCCTCTGAGAGGGCTTCCTAGATCACTCTCTGATAGGGTTTGGCTGTGTCCCCACCCAAATCTCATCTTGAATTGTGGCTCCCATAATCCCCATGTGTCGTGGGAGGGACCTGGCGGGAAGTAATTGAATCATGGGAGCAGGTTTTCCCATGCTGTTCTCGTGACAGTCAGTAAGTGTCACAAGATCTGATGGTTTTGTACAGGAGAGTTCTCCTGCACATGCTCTCTTGCCTGCTGACATGTAAAATGGGCCTTTGCTCTTCCTTCACCTTCTGCCATGCTTGTGAGGCCTCCCCAGCCATGTGGAACTGTGAGTCCATTAAACCTTCCTTTATAAATTACCCAGTCTCAGTATGTCTTTATTAGCAGCATGAGAAAGGATTAACACACTCCCTCAACCACTTTTCTTCTCTATCAACCCAATGCCCTTATTCTCTGATCATACTCTTTCTCCGAAGACTTGGACTTAATCGAAAGTTTTATACATGTAGAAGTTGCTACTTTTAGTAGAAAAGGAAACATCCATGAAAACGGTACCTTGGTCATTTCCAAGTAGTTACCACATTTCACAATATTATATTATGTTTTGTTTCTATATAACTTCTCTTAACTAAAGTATTATAAGCTTTATTTGGGTTAGAGACAATATTTGTCTTGTCATTCAGTACTAGAGGGGAAAAAGATGATAGAAAACAAATATCCCTTTATTCTGTCTGGTGAGGAATTCTAAATGATATTCATAGACACCTTTTGTGGCATCTGCCCCAAAAACTCCCTTTCCAGGAAATCCACAAATATTCATAATGAACCCCTTATACACAAGGGTAGTAGACCAAATATCCATGTTTAGACCATGAGACACTGCCCATTTTTAATGTCTGAGTTTTATATTTGCCACTGTCTAAAGTGTCTAAGACACCTTGAGGGCAGGGATCCCATGGGATTTGCCCATTTTTTAATCCAGCAACTGAGACCAATGACTGCTACATAATTATACTTTGAATCCATGAAAGGACAGAGCCAATTAGTTTACTCAGGCATCCAAGTCTTGTTTATTGGGTGGCCTGGGTTGGTTTAAGCTGCAGGAATCTAATAAGCGAACACCCAGAAAGATGAAAGCATATCCTTAAATTCCTATTCATTCAATAATCCTAAAATAATTTATAATAAATTAGAAACAAAGGGCAATTGTATAGGATCTTTGTCTGTCTAGTCCCCCACCTCAAAGAGCCACCAGGGGTAGTTTTCAGAGCCCTGGATGAGGTTTGGCTCATGCAAATCCCATTGTTTGTGGTTCCGTTGGAAGAGTCAGTCTCTCTTCTCCCAGCCCCCATACAACTCTTGGAAAATGGTGCTCAATGGAGAGTATCCTTTGCAGAGGAACTTTGTCCTTAGGGGGAAGTTCTAGATGACAAGTCATAAATTTAGAAGGCCCTGGTCTCAGAAGGCACTCTGAATGATTTCGACAAAGCACAGAAAGAGAAGGTGGTTTTAAAACAGTTTTACCATTGGGTTCAGAGAAAGGAGAGGTCTGTGTACAAATACAAACCACTTTAGTTCTGAAAACATCTGCATATTTTCTAGTCACCAAAGTCACATACACCATTGCAGCAATAAAGAGGATATTATTTACCCACCCACTTGACAGGTAGGCAAACTGAGTTCGGAGTTGCTGAGTACAATGCTAGAAGAGTGTCTCGTAGGAGAGATGCCCAATAGCTGGGCTCCATGTACATGTATCCCAATAGCCTTTCTTTCTCTTCACACTTAGAAACTCACCCTGACTGATATAAAAAGTGCTCAGTCAGACAGATGAAGACCTCCTGTCTTGGATAAAATAGGTGCATTCAAGGTGAGAACAGATTAAGTTAAGTCTGCCATAACAGAGAGAAATAGGGAACTCAGGGAGTCTGGGTGATTTGCATGGGTCCTGTTCCAGTTGACATTTGCATCCATCAGATCAATATTGAAGATAAAGATTTGACTTGACTTCCTTTAGATTCTGGTGGAGAGACACAGGAATGGCTCAAATCATCTTACTTGTTAACTTTCTTCCTTCTTGTGGTCAGGGACTTAGTTTTGTACCCCTGCTCTATTCTTGGCATTCAGAACAGTGACTGACACATAGTAAACTCTCATTGCTATTAATGAATGTACTCAATTTACCACTTCACTTTGACCTCAGACATTCTCTGACTTTCTGGGATGCAGATTACTGTTTCAAACAGGTTACTTTCTTCTTAAGTAATAAGTAGGCCATCATTTCTAACCTTGAAAGAAAATGTTATGTGAGACCAC